GTTGTCTTCAATCCCTTTTCCCCCAACATTTCGTTGGTCACACAATATCATAAGTAATCTAACTACTTTCAATAGCAAGATCAGCTGATGGTTTCAAGAAAAGCAGTTTTGAACTGGTAAGGATATTTCTTTGAAACTTAAAGCCTAGAAACAGGTTAGTATTCTGTTCAAATAGTAGGAACATGAATCTATTGATAGCTGGAGACAGGACCAAAATCCTTAAAACCGGACAACAAAGCTTAGAAGAAAAGCAGCAATATTTTAGTCAAGTCATAGGATATTGTTTCATCAGTTCAGTCTCATGTACTTAATCTTTCTTCTGTATCTGTTGAGGTTCGATGTTCCAGATTGAAATCTGGGATGTAATACTCAACTCCAGATTTTGGCCCTACAATTAAGTTGCCCATTTTCTTAGTTACACAGAAGCACTCTTACTGCTTGCACCACCAGTGATGGACCCTCATTTGTGATTTGATCTGCATTTCCTTAATGACTAATGCCATATTAGTTCTCTACATATCTTCTTTGGAAAAATAAGTATTCAAATTCTTGCCCATTTTAAAATGTACTGTATTTTTATTGAGTTGCAAACTTTTTTTTTAATGAATTCTGGATACAGCTTCTTATTGGATATGATTTGCAAATATTTTCTCTCATTTTGTGTATTTCTTTTCACTTTCTTAATGGTTTCTTGTGAAATAAAAAATAATATTAATTTATGGGGTCAGCTGGTGGCATGGTGGTTGAGGTGCTGGGCTTTTACATGGTCAACCATAGTTCAAGTCTTGGACCTGGCAGTCTGCTTTCTCTCTTCCCATTTGTTTGTCTCTGGTGAGGGCACATGCCCTGTAGCAAATTAAAATTAATAATGACAAAATTAAATAACTCTTTTAAAAATTATTAATTTCGGGGACCAGCAGATGGCATAATGTTTACTTTGCTGGACTCTCATGTAGTTGACCATGATTTGAGTCCCGGACCCAGCAGCTTAAAACTCACGTTGGGTGCCTGTGCGTGCTGACCAAAATCCTAAGAGGAGAATGGTGGAGAAGGGATTGCGGCATGGCTATCACCCAGAGGGGAATTTCAGACTTTTTGTCTCTGTCTCTCCAGTGAGTGCATACACCCTATAACAAAAATCTCTCTAAAGAAAAAATAAATAAGGGATCAGCAGATGGCATAACGGTTACCTTGATGGACTCCCATGTATTTGACCACAGTTCGAGTCCTGGACCTGGGGGCTTAAAACTCACATAGGAAGCATGTGTGTGCGTGCCCAAGATCCCCAGAGGAAAGTGGAGGAAAAGGGATTGTGCCATGGCCATCTTCCCAGGGGATGATTTCTTGCTTTCTCTCTCTCTGGAGAGCATATGTGCCTTATAACAAAAATTTCTCTCAAAAAAAATTGAAATAAATAAATAATCATTAATTTTTACTAAGCACAAATAACATTTTCTTTTATCCCATATGCTTTTGGTATCATATTTTTAAATAATCAGTGCCTAAATAACCTAAGATCACAAAAATATTCTTCTGTGTTTTCTTTGAAAAGTTTCATAGATTTATCTCTTTTGTTACAATTTTGATACATTTTGAGTTAATTTTTGTATATGATGTGAGGTAGGAATCCAGATTCTCTTTTTGCATATGGCTATGGTCTATGCAATAGTTATTGATAAGATGGTTTCTTTGACATGGAATTTTTCGTATGTAATTTTGCGCTGTATCCTTTGCTACACACAGTTGCTCATCTTTACAAAAATGAAATGCATGTCCTACATATCTTTAGTAATTGTGGTATTATCATAATTAGTATAGTCATTTTAAGTTTTATAATTACATATACTCAAATTCCTGTAGGGATGGGATAAATAAAGGTGAGTGAACAGAATAGTGGAAGTCTGTAGAATGTTGCCAGGATGATGTAGAAGTAGATTCCATTGATCAGCCAAGACAGATCTGCAGAATCAGATTCTGTTCACAGTGGTGCAGGTTGTGTATTACATGAATGTGCACACTACCACCACCACCACCTCAGCCTCTGGGATTCTGCAGAGCTCAGCTTGTGCAACTGTCCTGAGAAGTTCAGGTCTCATTTGCCTTAATAGTTGCATAGTCCTATATCCATCAGGAGTCACGGTAATCCCACTTCTCGAAATGTTTATATATGAAAAGGTTTTTTTTCCTAACAATGAAAAATTTAAAGCCAGTGAAATATTAGAATATAAAGGAATGGCTAAATAACTTATGATTCATATACATCATTCTGTCATTTAAAATTTAGTTTGAAAAATAAAATAATTGGTAAAATAACTGATCTAAGTTAAAAAAAATAAAAATTGAATATTAATATGAACATACCTGTGTAAAATTATATAGTATCATACTGGAAGAAAAGATACCAGTAGAGGTTTCTGAGTGGTGAAATTATATATATTATTATCCATATCCTTAAAACACTTTTCAAATATATCATCATGAGCATATGTTATTTTTTTACAGTGAATAACAACAAAATTTTTTTTTAATATTGCTGTGTTATATTTCTGATTATTCTGGACTTTTTTGATATGTTAACATTGTTTCTCAAAGTAGTTTTTAGTGGGCCAGTTTTGTTGATTTCATATTTAGAAGCAATAAGGAACTTAAAGGGATAGTTACAAATAAATCTTGTCAAACTTATTCCACCTTTTCTGCCATGGGAGAAGTTCTTAAAATTCTTTTTCTTTCAGCTTGCCAGTGCAATGGCCACAGTAAATGCATCAATCAGAGTATCTGTGAGAAGTGTGAGAACCTGACCACAGGCAAGCACTGTGAGACCTGCATATCTGGCTTCTATGGCGATCCCACCAATGGAGGGAAATGTCAGCGTAAGTCACATTGGCCAGACTCCTGACTGCAAATCAGGCAGAGCACAGCACTTCTTCTTTTTGACTTGACTTTCTGTAAGGAAGAAGGCCACTTGATTTTGGATAGTACATTTCTTTCTCTTTGTTTAAGCTATAGGTTGCACATGCTCACCAGAGAGTAGAGGAGAGGTGAGGGAAGATGGCCATGCCAAAGTCCTTTCTCCTTCATTCTCCTGTTGGGATTTTGGACACATATGCACATGTGCCCAGTGTATTTTTTTTTTTTTTCTTTTGGAGAGGTTTTCGCTATAGGGCATGTGGGCTCACCAGAAAGACAGAGACAGACAGAGACACAGAAAGCGAGAAATCACCCCCCCCAGCGAGAACCCCCCCCCCCCCCCATGGCGGATGACTACACCACCATTACGCCAACTGCTGGTCCCCCCAGTGTGTTTTTTCAAGTTGCTGGATCTTGGACTTGAACCACTTAGTCAGCCATGTGGGATCCAGCTGCCTTAACTACCAGACCGGCCTGGTACTGCATTTCTTCTTAAGTTAAATTGATCAGTAGTTCAGGAAGACAGAGCTGAACTGGCATGTGTCAGAGTAGCCAGAGCAAGCAACAGACCAAAAATTAGTTAATAAGCCTTTAATCACATTCTGTGATCAAGGGGCCAAAGTCAGAGAAAGCACCAACTCCCCCTGTTCATTTTCCTCTGTGATACAACTTACCAGTAGAGGGGTCAGGAGGATCAGCATAGACATGGGGGTCTTAGAGTCATCTCACTGTGAAGAGGGCTTTAAACAGAGGGCTCTGGTAGCATTATGGACCTTGAGGTTGCAGGGACAAGAGGGAAAGACTAGGAGTGGAGAAGTCCTGGCACTGAGTCAGATTTTCCCCTTTTGCTCCTAGACAGAGGCCTCAGCAAAGGGTTCTGAAGAAGACCTAAATAAGCTAAGGCTTCAGATAAAGATACCTAGGAACAAAGGCCCCCGGGTTAGGAATGTAAATATATGATGAAGATGACTGGAGGGTGGGGAAGCTGGGCACTTGACTTCTCACATAGGTGTTTTTTTTTTTTTTTTTTAAGGTTTTTGCCATAGGGTGCATGCATACTCATCCAGAGAGATAGTGAGAGGAAAGGTGAGAAATCACCCTCAAGGAAGGATAGTCATGCTAATTTTCTCCTTCATTCTCCTGTTAGGATTGGGCATGTGTGAACATATACCTGGCTTGAGTTTCAAGCTACCAATCTGGGACTTGAACTGCAGTCGGTCCTGGGAGTCCAGTGACCTACCTACTGTACCACCTGCTGGCTCCTGTACTATTCTGTTTTATAGGTTTCTTTGAGTGATTTTCTTTTTCTCCATGGAATTAATTTTTTAAGTATACCTTTTTCCAGCCCAATACCTTTCATTTATTCACAGAAAATCATGGTGTAAAATGAAAAGGTATTGAGCAAAAAGACTAATTTATTTCAACCAGAATATAAAATTTATCTTAGCTCATACTTATGTGCCAGATGGGAAAAGATAGAGACATGTGAGATGGCCAGAGGAGGGAGATAGGAAGTGTTGTTTCCTATAAAGGCAAGGAAGAACTAGCTGGTGGTGTGATGGTTGAGGCAGCTGGATCCCACACGGCTGACTGTGGTTTGAGTCCGGACTTGGCAGCTTGAAAAGCGTGCCGGGTGTATATACATGCCTGCCCAAATCCTGAAAGGAAAAATGGAGAAAGGATTGTGGCATAGCTATCCTCCATGGGCTTGCTTTCCCATTTTCCCCTGTCTCTGTCTCTCTCTCTCTGGTGAACGCATATGCTCTCGAGCAAAATAAATGAATGAATGAAAGGAAGGAAGGAAGGAAGAAAAGAGAGAGAGAAAGGAAGGGAAAGGTGAAAGGAAGGAAGGAGGGAAGAAAGAGAAAAAAAGAAAGGCAGGCAAGAATATGGCAAGGCAAGGCTGTTGAGTCCTGAAAAGCCTCCGAGACACTGACTTTGCCATGGAAATCTCACCAGGCCTGGTGTGGTTCAAAATGGCCATGTGGAAAAGGCACCTAGAGGTGGAGGACAACCAGGCCAAGCCTTCCCTCGTGGTGGTGGTGGGGGTGGGGGCTCACTGAGAGCATCTCCCCAGTGGGAGAGACTTTGTGTCCGCACACCTAACAGCTGGCACACTAGATACTTCATGAGTATTTATTGAATGAGCAAAAGAATTATAAGAGCCATAAAGAGAGTCTGTTGAAAAGTTCGGAACAGTGACTGCTTCATTTGGCAGTAGAAACCAGCACTCTTTTCCACTTACCCTTTGAGTTAGGTTCCTTTAATGTTGCCTTTATACTATTAGGATAAATCATTAGCTGAGAAATCATGGGTCTTATCCATGAGGTGTTCTTATTTTAATTTGTCTTTCTTGTTGAACCCAATTCAGATTAAATTGTTTGTTTTGGGAAATGTCTCTGATAGTAGTCATCTTGTAAGCCAGTTGTGACTTCCATTCCTTTCCCTTCTCCCCAGCATGCAAGTGCAATGGGCACGCATCACTGTGCAACACCAACACTGGCAAGTGCTTCTGCACCACCAAGGGCGTCAAGGGGGAAGAGTGCCAACTGTGAGTACCACCAAGGAGGGCCAAGGGGCTATGCAACTGCCTGAACCTCACCGAGCAGTTTTCCTGTGCCTTGTTGTACTGTCTCTGAGAGATCCCTAGGTTGATTAGTTTGAAATTTTGCCCTTTCTACTTCACACAGACAACCCCCAAACTAAGGAGGTCTTCAGTTTAGTAGCAAGTTTTTTAAATGGCTAATTCTCATATTTATGAGATTGGCATTTTCTGGTTGCTAGTTCAAATTAGTGGTTTTAACTTCAGCAACTACACAGTTTCTGTCAGGTCCAGAGATCGCACTCTTTCTTGAAGGGTAAAGGTGGAAGAGCTGGTGTTCCAGCAATGGCATTTGTTTGACATTTGGTTTCCTGAGAGTTGATTGTCTTGCCTTTAACACATCCCTCCCGGCTCTAGTGTTCTCTTGGGGAAATGTGTTACATAAAAATCTTCCAGGGAGGGTTTGGAGTCTCCATCCATTAGGATCCTGACTCAGCGTCAGGCAAACCTTGCTGTGCCTCCACTGAACAAGTTGCTCTTAAAGCAGACTGCCAAATAATGGAAAGCCACTAATGATGCTAGTTTCCCTATGTGTCATTAGTGGGACTAGCAATAATTGCTTTTAGTGTCTTGGTGAGATGAAACAAGAGAGATTGTTCCCTGCCCAGAGAGTAATTTCTCACTTTCTGTCTCTGTCTCTCTGAGAGCACACGTACCCTATAGCAAAAACACAAACAACAAACAAAAAACTTTGAGCTGATACATTATTGATGAAGTTTGGATTTTTTAAAAAATAATAGTATAGTATCACCAGTGATTGAAGTATCAATAGTGGTATTATGTGGAGAACTGGTCTATCTGCATTTATGTTAACATATGTGTTCACTACTTTCAAGCTGCCCTAAAGCCAGTACATGAAGAAAAGTATAACTAAAGATGAAAGCTTAATTTTTGGTTCCAAGTTTTTTCAACAGGAAAATGTGATACAGAAAATTAAAAGTTTTGCCCTCAGGGGATATAACAAGAACACAGGTGTCATTTAGTTAAAGACTTTTAAGTCTCTTCAAAAGATTGTAGAGATAAACAAGTATTGATAACCTCCCTAGATGAAAAGATATAATATCTCTATCCCTATCCCTATCCCTGTCCCTGTCCCTGTCCCTATCTTATCTTGGTGGAAGAGGAATATTTCACCCAAGCTTTCTCCTCCTTTCCTCATGGTTTGTAAATGTTGTTTGCCTAACTGGCTTTGTAAAGTAGAAGGCCGGGTTTCATGAATATTTGTTTATACATGACATCTACACTTGATCTTATCCAAAAGATAGATAGATAGATGGCATCTATATATGTCAGATGCCATAATATATGACATCTTTATGGACATGTTTGAATAGAACTTGTTTTTTCCCTCCGGACTGAACACTTGTTTAAGGGCTTAAACAAAAATAAGTGGGGCCAGGCGGTAATATAGTTAAGGTGACTGGATCCCACATAGCTAACAGTGTGGTTCGAGTTCTGGACCCAGTGGCTCAAAAACCATTCCAGACGCATGTGTGCCTGAAATCCCAAAAAGAAATGGAAGAGAAGGGATTGCAGTGCATCCTCCATGGGGATAAGACTTTGTCTCTGGCAGATGCATGTACTCTCTGGCCAAGAGAAACAACAAAAAAGTGATTCTTGTCGATCTTTTCTCACTTGTGTTTAAAGGACAAAATACAGTTTCTCCAGGGAGAATAGGAAAAAAGTGAAAAATGAATATTCGAGAATGTTTTAACTGCACTTTTAGAAGAATTTGTAGTCAACACAAAAGTGAAAATGTGTTTTTTATTGTAAATAATAAATAAGGTCTAGATTTACTACATTTGGATTTATGTCATGTACTTTGGAAAATGTTTATCAGTTGTTTGTATATGCTGGTGGTGTGCGTGACTGGGCAGTCAACATTGCAAATCATGCAGAGTGTTATTGGTCCACTGATCTGAGTAATGGTGATGAATATAATTATAATGACTCAAAAATTATTTGTACTTTATATAAAGGTACAAATATAAAAGGATCAGGTATAAGTATAAAAAGTACGAATATAAAAGGATCTGTTTTAATTTTAAAATGATTGTCGATTCTGTTCTACTTAGTAATAGAAGACAATCTTCCTTTTCCTCCCCAGATGTGAGGTAGAAAATCGATATCAGGGAAACCCTCTCAAAGGAACATGTTATTGTAAGTATTTTTGCAATTCATATTTCTGAAGCACAGTAGTACTGTAAAGGTTCATTGTTTTCCTTAACCTGGTTTGAGACTGGTAAGTGCTGTAGAAATGTAACAGCCATCCATGGCAGTGTCTCCTAACTTGATGTGTTTGCATTCTATTATGTTTGCTTTATATGAGCAATGTTTTAAGCTATTTTAATTGTGATTATGGTTTATGTTAGTATTTCTACTGCAGAGAGCAGAAGAGAGTACAGAGAGCTACATCAGCTTTCTTTGTTTACATTGCCTTGGCATCTTACTTCATATTCTGTTATCTGGATGGGATCATAATAGTTCTTTTTTTTTTTTTTTTTTTGAGAGGTTTTCACTATAGGGCATGTGCACTCGCCAGACAGACAGACAGAGACATAGAGACAGAAAGTGAGAAATCACCCCCCAGGGGGGATGGTCACGCTACAGTCCCTTCTCCTCCATTCTCCTCTCGGGATCGTGAGCACGCACGCACATGCGCCCGAGGTGAGTTCTAAGCCACAGGTCTGGGACACGAACCACGGTCAACTACGTGGGAGTCCAGCGACATAGCCATTACGCTAACTGCTGGTTCCCATAATAGTTCATATTTTAAGATACAGATCAAAACCAACATTCTTGTAGTATAGTTGAAGTTTCTTCATTCTCTCTGAAACTGATTTGTGTTACCACTTCCTCAGGAACTAATGTATAAAATAAAATATTGAATGATTACCTTGGAGTAAAAGATGTATGGGTGAATACATTTTCTCACTGTAGTAGAATCCACAGAGCAGGCCAGATTTTAGAAACAGAAAAACAGAAAAAAATGGAGTTAATGTTATACTGTATATCCACTGTACCTCTATACCTGCGGTACTGGGTTGAATAGCATCCCTACAAAATTCATATCTGTTGATACTTGGAACTTATAAATGTGACTTTATATATGTAAAACTTCTAGAAGAAAATAGGAGTAAAGCTTCTTGACCTCGGGTGAGGAAAAGAGTTCCTAGTTTTGATTCTAAAAGAACAGTTCAAAAAAAGAAAAAGTTGATGAATGAGATTTTATCAAAATTTTAAACTTATATTTTAAAAACTGCATTCAAAATTAAAAACAAGCCATGGACTAGAGATTTATTTGCTTGTATCCAGAAAGTATAAAGTATAAAGTATAAAGAACTCTTACAACTTAGTAAGAAGACAGTCTAATTAAAACACAGGCAAAGATTTGAAGAGACATTTGTCAAAGATATATAAATGGCCAGTAAGCACATCAAAAAATTCTTAACATAATTTGGGGTAGCCAACTTGAAAACACAGTGGGGTATAGCCCTAGAATGACTATAATCAAAGGCTGTACTGTGACTTAATAGAAGGCAGTCATAATCCCATACCTGCTTTTGCATTCAGTTTGTTGCAGTATGTCTTCTTGGTTAAATGCATGAAAACAAAAAAAAAAAAAACAAATAAACAAACCTCACTAGATATGTAGTTGGAAAAGGGTGGGGTATTTTAATAGGTTTTTCAGATAATTATGAATAGTATCCTTTGCTCTAATGCCCAAGCTAGACAACTGGTCACTGCCTAAAGGTTGGTTAAAATGTGGAAGCAGTATAAACACATTAGTGAATTTTTTAGTAATCTGTTACATTAAAATCTATTTTTGTAGGGGAGAGAGAACCAACATCAAGTTTTAGCAAAGTAATTGAGAAACTGGAATGTCATGCATTACTTGTGGGAACATGTAGTGGTATAGCCACTTTGGAAAATCATTTGGCAATTTCTCAGCGAGTTAAAAAATAAACTTTCCAACAGCTCCCCATTTCCTCCTCTTCTTGTCCCCTAGCAGACACCATTTTGTTTTTTCTTTCTATGAATTCGACTACTCAAGATGCCTCATCTAAGTGAATGGCTTATTTCATTTAGCATAATGTCCTCAAGGTATATCCATCCATCTAAGATGTATAGCATGTCAGAATTTCCTCCCTTTTTAAGGTTGAGTCAATTCTATTATATGTATATACTATGTTTTGTTTATCATTCATCTATCAGTGGACACTTGAGTTGCTTCCACATTTTTTTTTTTTTTTGAGTAATACTGCAATGAACATGAGTATGTAGATACCTGTTTGAGATCCTGATTTATTCTTTTGGCTATATACCCAGAAGTGAAATTGATAGATTATATGGTAATTCTATTTTTAATTTTTTGAGAAACTGTCTTATGTAGCAGCTGTACCATTTTACATTCCTGCCAGCAGTCCACAAGGGTTCCAGTTTTCTACATCCTCATCAACACTTGTTATTTCTTTTTTTTTTTTTTTAATCTTATTGTGCTTTTCACTTGCTCTTCCCTAATGGTCAGTGATACCGAGTATCTTTCCGTGTACTTACTGGTCATTCATATATTTTCTTGGGAGAAATATCTATTTAAGTCAGTTACCATTTTTTTAATTGTGTTTTTTTTTTTTTTTAATTTTAAGAGAGAGATTTTTGCTATAGGTGTGTGCTTACCAGAGAGACAGGGTGAGACAGACAGACCGAAAGTGAGAAATCACCCCCCGGGGAGATGGCCACATCAGTCCCTTCTCCTCCATCCTCCTCTCGGGATTTTGGGCATGCACGCACATGTGCCCTGCGTAAGTTTAAGCTGCTGGGTCTGACTCAAGCTGCGGTCAACTATGGGAGAGTCCAGCAATGTAACATTACGCCATGTGTACCCCTTTACCATTTTTTCCCTTTTTTTTTTTTTTTAAGAGGTTTTTGCTATAGGGCACATGTGCTAACTAGAAAGACAGAGAGAGACAGAGAGATAGAAAGCGAGAAATCATCCCCTGGAGGGATGGCCACACCGCAATCTCTTCTCCCCCATTCTTCTCTTGGGATCTTGGGCACGCACGCACACGCGCCACTGGGTCCAGGACTCAAACCGCGGTCATCTACATGGGAGTTCAGCGACATAGCCATTAAGCTAACTGCTGGTCTCCCCTTTGCCATTTTTTAATCAGGTTTTTTATTGACACAGTAGATTTTCTAAAATTAAATTATACAAACTACTATCAAGTTATCTTCTTTTGCTATATCACAATAGTCTTCAAGTGCTTTCTTCCTTTCTGTTCTAAGATAACCAAGGCATAGGTCTCTTGCCTGGAATCAACCATCTTTTCCATGGAGTCCTGATTTTCTACTACACCATCAATTTGTATCTTTGAGTCCTTAAGCAAAAGGTGTGTGGTAGATGCTCAGTTAATATTTGTAAGTGAGTTTAGGTTGGAGTCTAACCAGGGTTGTGAAATTAGGAAGGTTTGGTATGGTTAACCCAAATAAAATGATAATGTCTACCTGATTTCCTTTGAGAAACCTACTTTTAGATGAGTCAGACTGTTTTCCTAGCTATTGAATTTATGAGAAAAGTAATCTGTACCACTAGAGAACTGTTCTGCTTTGCCACCATTTTTGAATATACATTTCTTTCTCTCCATAGATACTCTTCTTATCGACTATCAGTTCACTTTTAGCCTCTCCCAGGAAGATGATCGCTATTACACAGCCATCAATTTTGTGGCTACTCCTGATGAAGTAAGAGTTTTATAAACCTTCCTATTTTGCTTTGAATTCATGTGGATTATTTTCTTGGTCATAATAGATAGAAGTACTGCCTTAGCAGTGGTCTCTGGAGTGGAATACATATGATGACCTTTAGAAGTGCAGGAATAAATGTTGGAATCTACATTTTATCTGTTTTCTCTCTAAAAGGCACGAATGGTATTAATAAGGTTTGCCAGGATGTGATACTGATACTGTCTCTGCACATACTTTGTTTGTCTGTCATTCCATGTTGGCCCCATACCAAAAAAGAGAAGACATTGTAGAGGGATCTGCACGAGAGGGCAGATGGCAGAGGCCGGATCTACTTTCAAAATGGGTCAGAGGCTTCAAAAGCCCTCCAAGGACAGTGCTGATTACGACCAGTGCTGTGATACGGGCGCAGGCAGCCAGCAAGGACACCTCTGCCCCCAGAAGGAATTCTTAGTCTTAGGCAGAGCTAAAACAGCAAAGGTTTAGGGTTCAACAAGAAGTTGGCCAGAAATTATTTAATTTGTTTAAATAACTATTCAAAATGTGGACTTACATCTGCTGTCATTAGTGATAAAGCCCAGCCTGTTCTAAGGTGGTAGAAAGGAATCAGTGCAGCATGGCATTTAAAAATGGAACATCCTGGGAACCAGCAGTTAGCGTAATGGCTATGTTGCTGGACTCCCACATAATCAACCGCGGTTCGAGTCCTGGACCTGGTGGCTTAAAACTCACGCTGGGCGTGTGTGCGTGCATGCCCAAGATCCTGAGAGGAGAATGGAGGAGAAGGGATTGCGGCGTGACCATCCCCCCTGGGGGGTGATTTCTCGCTTTCTGTCTCTATGTCTCTCTCTGTCTGTGTGGCGAGCGCACGCGCCCTATAGCAAAAAACCTCTCCAAAAAAAAAAAAAAGGAACATCTAGACATGAGGATTTGCCAATGTAACATCTTCAGTAAAATATCAAGTCATTCACTAACACTACTCTAATAATTAAAATTTTACTTAACTTGGTGAAATTATTTGGGAGCCATCTTGGAGGTTTCTTACTTCTCATCAAAAAAAGCCATTTACAGTTATAAAATTTGTACCACAATAAATGTGTCAAATGATACATGGAAAACAATATGACAGTATGCCAAAGGATATTCCTTTGTTAACAAATGTTATCAGTAAACACTGCTAAATTAAAAAAAATGGTTTGACAAAGTTCATAGTCTGGCATATTTACTAAACAATTGGTTTGTTTTTAATATTTCATTTCAATAACAAAATTGAGAAAAGATGTATTAGAGAAGATACAAAGGGACTTCAGAAAGTTAGGAGGCCAGTTGGTGGTAATACATTTATACCCACATAGGAAAGGTCCCAGGTTCTTGACATGGGACTTTCCTGACCACACTAGGTATGTATACCCATGCCCTTGATCCAGGTGGGCTGAGGCTGAGAGTGGATTGTGGCATGAGGACCCTGTTGGGTAGGCCTTTCTCTCTCTATCTGTCTCACATGGAAGAAAGAAAGAAATAAACTTAAATATATATATATATATATATTTAGAAGTTTTTGCTGAGGGCATGTGTAGTTGTTGGAGAGAGAGACAAGACAGTGAGAGGGAAAGTGAGAAATCACCTCCTGGGAGGATGGCCATGCTGCTATCCTTTCTCTTCCATTCTCCTCCCAGGATCTTGGGCACACATGCACACATGCCTGGCATGATTTTCAAGCCAACACGTCTGGGACTCAAACTGCAGTTGGCCATGTGGGAGTCCAGCAATGTAACCACTATGCCAACTGCTGGTTTGAAATAAACTTAAAATTTTACCATTTATAGAAAAATTGAATTACAGTTGGGACCAGCAGTTAGTGTAATGGCTATGTCGCTGAACTCCCATGTAGCTGACCGCGGTTTGAGTTCCGGACCCAGTGGCATAAACTCACGCCGGACGCATGTGCATGCGGGCCCAAGATCCTGAGAGGAGAATGTAGGAGAAGGGATTGCGGTGTGGCCATCCCTCCTGGGGGGTGAATTCTCGCTTTCTATCTCTCTGTCTCTCTGTCTTTCTGGCGAGCACACATGCCCTATAGCAAAAACCTCTCAAAAAAAAAAAAATTGAATTAAAGTTTACTTTGGCACAAAAAAATTTGAAATCCATACATAATATTTTCATAATATGCACTTTCCATTAACTTTTTGACCAGCTCCCCCATAAATTCTTAAGAATGAGTGACTTTTTAAGTAAAAATAATAAATGTCTTTAAATGAAAATATTTATGGGAAACTACATAGGTATATCATTTTTTAAAAAAAGAATTATTTAATTTATTTTTATTATTATTACTGTTGTTTTTAAATTTACCAGAGAGAGAGAGAGAGAAGGAAAGTGAGAAAGCAAGCTAACCAGGTCTAGCACTCAAACCATGATCAACCATGTGGGAGTCCAGTGCCTCAACCACATGCCACCTGCTGACCCCTAGGTATATCCCATTTAACAAATTTTTATGAAAAGATTTTAGAATAAAGTTATTGCAAAATACCACACATGAAATTTATTTGCTGCCTCAACCATAAGTGAATGTTCAAGATGTAATTGATATTACTGACTTTCTTTTTAATAAACACAGTAGAATCTTTGTAATATTTCTTTACTTTTTTTTTTTTTTCTTAGTTTTGCCATACAGCACATGCACTCGCCAGAGAGGGATGGAGACAAAGAGAGGGAAAGTCATAAATCACACCCCCTATATGGATAGCCATGCTGCAATCCTTATCCTCCATTTTCCTCTCAAGATTTTGGGCATGCTCATACACATGCCCCAAAAAAAACATGCCCAGCATGTTTTTCAAGCTGCTGGATCTGGAACTAAAACCTCTTGGTCAGCCATGTGGGCTCTAGCTGCCTTCACCTCTGCACTACCTGCTGGCCTCCATTTAATGCTACTTGACAAGGTGGACAGTGACTATTAAAAAAAAAAAATCTTTGAACCTTTCTAGGTGGTTCCTCTTTATTTCACGATAGAATACTTAACAAAGTTACCCAAATGTATGTGTTCTGTCTTTTACAAAATCACAAAGATTTACAGGGCAGCCAGTGGTGTAATAATTAAAAGCAACTGGATCCCACATGGCCAACCAAGCGGTTCAAGTCCAAGAACAAGCAGCCTGAAAAATATGCTGATGCATGTGTGCATATGTGGCCCAAATCCTAGAGGAGAATGGAAAAGAAATAACTATGGCATGGCCAGGTCCCCCAGGGGGTACTTTCAAGATTTTTAAGAATATTATTCTAATAATTTATTTTGAATTTTTATTATTTATTTTTAAGAGAGATTTTTGCTATAGGGCACATATACTTTCTAGAGAGTCAGAGACAGAAAGTGAAAAACCACCTTCCAGGGGTGTTGGCCGTGCTGCAGTCCCTTCTTCTTCATTCTCCTTTCGGGATTTTGGGCATGCATGCACATGCACCCAGTGTGAGTTTTAGGCTGCCAGGTCTGGGACTTGAACTGCAGTCTACTCTGTGGGAGTCAAGTAACATAACCATTACATCATCTGCTGATCCTCTTTATTTTCATTTTTAATTGCCATTGGGTGCATATGCTTGCCAGAGACAGAGAAACAGAGAAGGGGAGAAAGCTCCATAAATAGGGCATAGTAATGGCAAGGGCATGATAATACCACATACATACACACATACTACTAGTGTGTTTTTCAAGCTCCTGGTACCAGTATTCAAACTGCAGTCAGCCATGTGGGATCTGGCTCCCTTAACCACTAGGCTACACAGCTCGCCCTGTTTTGATCATTTTCAGTAGTACAGTATCACAATAATGAAAATATTTCCAAACAGTCATTTTTCAAAATGTGGTCTCCAAACCAAAAGTTTCTCTCAAAAAGCAGCTATCTTCTTATTTATCAATAAAATCTCACCTTCATCTTGAAAGGATAGCTCAAGTGTTTTATTTACTTATACTTAATAATTTTTTGGTAGCACCAATTGCTTCTTTCCAGGGAGAGAATAAACTTGAAATCTTTATGGTTTTGTTTTTAGTTTTTGCATTATGGTATGTGCACTCACTAGAGAAAGACAGAAAGAGAGAAAGACAGGGAAATAAAAATTTTAATTTTTTTTGTTTTACTTTATTTGTTGTTACTATTTTTTAATCTAATGAGAGAGAGAGAAAAGGAAAGTGAAAAAGCAAGCTACCAGGTCCAGGACTCGAACCATAGTCGACCATGAGGGAGTCAAGCACCTTAACTACCATATCACTTGCTGGCCCCCGAAATCTTAATTTTATAAACCATTTTAAAATCTTTTAAAATGAATTTCATTGCAATTGGATCTGTTTGTAAAATATAAAAATAAGATACCCAATTAGTGTACAAAGATAATTGTTTGACCCCAAGAAAGAGATTTACTAATCTTTCAGTGAAAACTAAAAATTAGTATTATAATTTACCACGCATAGCCAACAGTACGCTTCTTTGGCTCAACAGGTTTTTCAGAGATCTCTTTTTCAGTCACTAAAAATAAGAATCAATATAAACTAAAATAGAATGGTGTTTTGAATTGCTCTCTCTCTTAAGTGGTAAATAAGGTTTTCTCAAGCCAACAGATCCAGGACTCAAACTACATGGTTGGTCATCCCATCATATGGGATCTAGCCTCCTTAACCACTGGCTGGCCCTGGTAAATAAAGCTTTTAAAACAAAGAAAGTATACTCAGTCATACTGTTCTTGAATAATATTTTTAAGGAATTGTTTATTTAATTTAGTTTATTTATTTATTTTCATTTTACCAGGGAGAGACAGACAGAGAGGGGAAGCAAGAAAGCAAGGCACCAGGCCCAGGACTCAAATCGTGGTCAGCCATGTAGGAATCCAGCACCTTAATCACCACGCCACCTGCTGGCCCCTTGAATATTTTTGGTGAGAGAAAATGTTTTCCAAATCATGAATGAATATAATAAAATTATTTTAAAAATTTGGTATATTGGGGCCAGCAGGTGGCACTGTGGTTAAGGCACTGGACTCCCACATGGCTAACCACTGTTGGACTCCCAAACCTGGCAACTTCCTTTCTCTCTTATGTGAGTGCATTTGCCCTATAGCTAATTAAGACATAATAATAATAATAAACACAAAAAATTTTGTTATTTTTGTTTTATATGTGTTTTTAAAAAGTTTTAGAAAAATTTTGTACTGCATATAATGTACGAGTTTAGAAGTATATGATTTTTTAAAAAGAATTATTTATTTTATTTTATTTATTCATTCATTTATTTTAATTTGATCAGACACACACACACACACACACACACACACAGAAAGAGAAAAGGAAAGTGAGAAAGCAAGCCACCAGATCTGGGACTCAAACCATGATCAGCCATGTGGGAGTGTCTAGCGCCTTCACCACCACACCACCTGCTGGCCCTACTTCATAGGTTTAAGTTATAAATAAGCTTATATTTGGGTACAGGTGTTTTGTGGATAAGAGTGAATTCAATAAACTTGGAAACTACTGCCCTGGTGGTCCTTAGGAACCTGATTCCGCTAACACATATCAGAAGATAAAGGTCACAGTGCTCTAGTGAGGGTCTTTTTCAAAGCTACTTTTTAAATGGAATTGAGTATTTGATAAAATATTAAGTTCTATATATTTTTAGGGGAGGGAAGTAGAATTATATTTGACGCATATTGCTTATATTGAGAAAAATTGGTTAGAAAATTTGCTAACTCTTCTAAGTGGATGTTTCTCTTAAGACATAGTAAAAGATTCTGTAAGAAAGTTGCAAGTAGTAAAATGTAATTATTGCTTCATTTTTAAAATCTGGGAACTGTTATAATTATTTTTCTAATTATTCACACCTCTTATCAGCAAAACAGGGATTTGGACATGTTCATCAATGCCTCCAAAAACTTCAACCTCAACATCACCTGGGCTGCCAGCTTCTCAGGTAAGAGCATACCTAAAGAAGACCCTCTGAGTGGAGGCTGTAGTGTCCCGGCCACATTTAGCCTGTTTCAGTGTATGTGTGAGTGTTGAGAGTGAGCAAGGGGAAGGTTTGCAAGGGTTCCTTCAGAAAAAACATTCTGGCTGAGGGCGCAGCCTGCCAGGTTTAAATCCCAGTTCCACTTCTTGCTGGCTGTGTGACCTGAGGCAGGTTACTTAATTCCTCTGAACCTATTTCCTAATCTGTGAATGAGGGTAATAATAGGGTTGTTGTAAGGAGTAAATGGGCTCAAGCTCTTAAATGCTGTTCATGAATCCTAAAAGCGAGTGTTTGATAAATGCTCTTATCTTTGTTATTAATGAGGAAATTCTGTCCAAAAAGAAAAAAAAGGGTCTTCTATTTCATTCTCTTCTTCCTAACAGCCGGAACCCAGGCTGGGGAAGAGATGCCTGTTGTTTCGAAAACCAACATCAAAGAATACAAAGATAGCTTCTCTAATGAGAAATTCGATTTTCGCAACCACCCAAATATCACTTTCTTCGTTTATGTCAGTAATTTCACCTGGCCCATCAAAATTCAGGTAAGAAGTGCCTTTTGCTTTCAGACCTGCAAAGATGGTCACATCTCTTTGGTAAAGACTCAGTTCACTGATTTGGAACTTGGAATAAATGAGATGTACAGGGTGACTTTGTCATACACATGGCAAAGGAGCGCTGAGCCTACGAGGACTGTAAAGCAAATCGTAGCAGGAAT